ATTCGGCTCTCTTAGCAAAATGGAACAGGAGATTTCATTTAGGGAAAATATCTTATTTAGGATCATGAGTACTATGACTTACATCCCAATATTTGTGATAGGGTGGAAATCCTTTCTTTTGTTTTATAGAAATTCACCGTTTTGCTCTTAGAAATCTCAATCTGTTTTGGTAGTGTAGGAATTATTGTCTCCTATCCATCATTTTTTTCCCTTGACCTCAAAAAATTGTTGTGGTTTGTATAACTTTTATATTTGGTCATGCACTGCCCTTGGGCTTCAACTTCAGTAGGAACATCTGTCTCCTTCAAGTTGTACATTGTAAGGTTGTAAGAGCTTCCAAAGCAATTGGGAAGTTTTCCCCCTCTTTAATGGAGATCAATGGATGAACAAAAACCGTAGAAAAATGAGTTAGTTACTGGGAAAGTGGTTTTTGACATCAAGAGCTAAGGGAGGGTCGGTTCTTGCCTCATATGTAACTTGGTTTTTCATAATAAATCACATACAAGTAAATGGTTTTGAAGATTTTTTGGTGAGTCAAGTTCTTTTAGGATTCTATCATAAGCAAAATGATACGAGAAAGTTAAGTTGGAATGTAATGATCGTAAATAGGTATGTAACTAATGTGATCGTTCTGTTTAGAGTCGTTTTTTTTAATTATTAAATTTTGTAATATATTGAGCATTTCTGGATCACGTAGCCTTTCTTGCTAACATCCTGAAAATCATATTTGATTTTGTATGGTTCACGTTCAATCGCTGAATCCCATAATATTGTTTGGTTTGATGAAAACCCTCTAAAAGTGACATGTTCGTTTGATTTTTCTTTAAGGGGCATTACATCTTACTTCAGGAAATATCATGGTTCATTATCCACTCCTTAGTCTGTTTATGTTGTGATTATTCATATCATTTATTGGTCATTCAGTTGCACTTGTATTTTCAAGAGAACCAAAAGTATTGTATCAAAATACTATAAACCAATTGCCATTTGGTAAGAGATCAATTTTTTTTAATGGAAAATCATGGAGAAAAATGAAAGAAAACAAAATGCCAAATAAAAGTCCACAAAAGGAGCCAAAACAAAATCTATACAACACAAAAATGGTTCCAATCAATAAAAATAATGCCTAAATGATAATTACAAAAACATTAGTAACAAACACCGACAGGGAAGTTTTGAACCTAGCTGTAGCCCAGACCTCCCCAAGGCCACTCCACACTCTAAAAATTCTCCGATTCCTTCCAAGCCAACTCCACAAAATAGACCAAAAGGCATTACCCTCGCTTGAAACGGCAGGTGAAACATGAAGCAATGTCTCATTCATCATTGAACAACACCCTCTTTTACGAGGTAATAAATCATTTAAACATATCATTTCCTATTAGAATATCGAGCTACATTTAACCCCTTGGTTTGGTTTGTTCATTATCTAACTCTTAGCCTGCTTGTGTTGTGATTCTAATCCTATGGATCACGTATTTTGTTATCGTTACATTGTGAGGGGTTTATGGTTGAAATTTATTTATGGAAAAGATTTTTACATCTTGTTTTAGGATATCTCTCCCATCCTCTTTTTTAATGATGTTTCGTGGTGGTAGGGATCAGTTCGGAGTGGTTTTATTCTTTTCGTTTCTTTTGGTTTTTGGTTTGAAGGATACAAGAGGGGTTTTGTTTTCTGTTTTTCTTTTTTGAAGAATAGGTTGAAAATATTAAGCTTCTTAGACTAGAGTTGAGATGGTTAATTATTTTCAAGTAGAAATGGTAAATTTATTTTGTTTGTTAATTGGGTGCTTTCATCTAATTGTTTGAGCCTTCAATTGTTCAGGGTGTACATACCCTTGACTAATAGTGAAAGTTGTCTTATTATTCTTCTTCATCAATCAAATGTTTTTATTGTATCGAGTTAAAATTTGAATTTTCTTCAAGTGATATTTAATTTACTTCAATTAATGATCTAAAATAACATTAAATTTAAGATAAGTGAAAATATACTGATATATTTAGGTAAATGTCTCCACTGGTTTATGTCTTAATCAGTTAATAATTTATTTCTCCATCCTTTCGATGGAATAAAAGAAACTTTCATTAGGAAATATAGAAAGGAAACTCCCCGAGAAAGTATCTCTAGCTCGACAGTGAATAATAAATAAGAAAAAAGATTTTGAACTGAAAAGCCTGAGAAACCCAAAAGGAAACATTAATCTGCACAGAAATTGAAATATAATTTTTATTTTGCAAAATATTTTGAAAAATCCTTGTGTTCCTCTCTCTAGCCAGATACGGCTGAACATGATTAATATTCCCAGCTGTGCCCAAAGTGGTCACATTTTCCAACAGAAGGAGAGAACCCAATCATTTCACCCAGGAAGTCTCTACCATAGCTAGTAAAGGAAAATTTCACTTGTCACGCCAAAAAATATGAAGAAATTTGGTACCACAAACCAAGGTTAAGGGACAGCATAAAAGAAGAAAAAATAATGTATGACTGCTAGTCAGGTCCTGTGCCTCCTCCTTAGGTTCAGCGATGTTTTTCACTTTTCATATGGGCCATGAGGTTCGCATGGTTTAATACTCTCTAGCTTCCTGTCAATCACCTTGAGTTGGACAGAGAACCTTGCAAAAAGGTCGTGTATTGTTTTTCTGTATTAGAAGGAAATTACAAAATTTTGAGGTTTTGAATGGATTTAAACGTGACTGGTTCAAGGATGTTTTATTTTTGTCTCATCGTTGAATAGGTGTCAAAGAAGCTCCCAATGCCCCATGTGTTGGCAACCTATTAGCCTGAAGGATCCAACCAGGTTTGTATTGTTCCGATTCCATTTCTGCATCACTTTTTTATTTTAATCCACGAGTAGATGGAAGGTTGTTAAATTTAGTTGGTTTTGCAGTCAGGAGTTGCTCGAAGCAGTAGAACAAGAGAGAAGTTTTAGACTTAATCCATCTCGAAATTCAACAATATTTCGCCATCCCACTCTTGGTGACTTCGAGTTACAGCATGTATGCAGTCAATAATATGCTCTTTAGCCTAATATCATTAAATCATGTGGACCAAAATCTAAGTCAGGACACTTTTTATTTTTTTATTATTATTTTTCAATCCAGCTGCCAGCTGGTGCAAATGATGCTGATCTTGAGGAGCGCATAATCCAACACCTAGCTGCAGCTGCTGCCATGGGACAAGCACGCCATAGTGCTAGAAGGGAAGGCCACAGACATCGGTCAGGAATTCATGGCCATCCTCAATTCTTGGTGTTTTCTTCTCATCCCAATACGTCGCCTACCTCTCCACCTCCTGGTGACAATCGGGAGGGTGAAGCAGCCCGAAGAATCACGGTAGCTACTTTATCGCCCTCTCCATCTGCAGGAGAGGAGTCCCCTCAATCCAATGCTTCAGTATCTCCGGTGCAAACTGATCAAACTTCTGCTTCAGCACCTCAATCCAGTTCACATTCTGCCAGTCAACTTGGATCCCCATCAAGTGATAGGTATTCAGTGTTCATTGGTTTTATAGAGTTAGTCCATTTTTAATTGAAATGTGTCATCATTGCATGCAGCTACATAGAATTTATTGGTCATGTATTTATATTATTATCCCCCCACCGTTCATTAGGAGATCGACCAGTCAACCAGTGCCTAATAGTCAAGATAGAGCAGGACCATCAGAATTACAATCATTCTCGGATTCTCTGAAGTCTCGACTTAATTCAGTGTCAACGAGGTTGTAATATATGTCTTAATGGCCTTTAGTTTTTCCATGTGTAATATCTGATTATTTCATCCTTTCATGACTCTGTCATCTCTATGTTTCCTTTTAATTTTCAGATACAAAGATTCAATTGCAAAGAGCACAAGAGGTTGGAGGGAGAAACTGTTCTCTCGCAACACTTCAATGGCAGACGTTGGCTCTGAAGTTAGAAGGGAGGTTAATGCAGGGATAGCAACAGTATCGCGCATGATGGAACGTCTTGAAACCAGAGATGGTAGAAAAAATGGCAGTCCCGAGTCGAGTAATGTAGGGAATACTAGCCCGGTTTCAGAATCAAATAATAGGCAGACACCAGAGAATGGAGGAAACAATCCTTTGAGTGACACAAATAAGGAAGGGTCACGCCCTGCAGAATCCAGTTCAAGTTGAACATTTTCAGAATTGGCTTCACTCAAAGCCCCATCTTATAAGGAGGTGAATACTGTAAGTGATTGTTTCCCTCTTCCATATGTACAAGAATGCCTGGAGTAGACTGATGCTTAAAAAATTGGGGAAAAAAAAGAACTTCAATATATTAAAAAATGACTGAATTTTAGTTTATTTTGTGACTAGTTAGAGTGTACTTATATATTAGTCTGTGTATCATTGATAACTAGTAATAAAATAGCTTATTTACGAGTAAATTGAAAATAATCATTGTTGGAATCATCACCATGGTCCAGGTGCATATTCTAGTTTTCCCCCTTCATAGAAGTTTTGGTAGGCTTCTTCACCTCTACTACTGTCAGTAACTTTGGTAGTATGAGTTTGTGGTTTTGACCATCACTGGAGACGAGTTGGATAAGACTCGGATCGGTGACTAACAGTCGTCGGAAGTATACGATTTTCTGGTTTCTTCTGATGAATTGAAAACGTGCCAGTGAGATGAACCACTGCTCATTTTGTTTGTGGAATGAATGATTATTAGAAGAGTAAAAGATATTGGAAGTAAATTTTAATGGTTGGTCCTCGAATGAATTGTTCTCTTCCAGTTTAGTTCTGATTTGTTCGTGTAGGAGGCAGCAATTAACTGGATCATTAGATAGCTGAGTGATAATATTCCATTTCCATTATGGTAATTACTTCTCTTGCATACAACTTTAGATTACTTGGTTGAGCTTCATATATGATTATTGATTCTTTGGGCAATTTTCTCTACCCCAAAGGATGTGCTTTTAGACTAACCAATTTATCTTTGACTCGATTTTCAAAATGTTTTTGAAAAAGTAGATATGGAAACAAAGAAATATATAGGTGGAGGAAGTAGTGTTTAGAAGCTTAATTTTAAAAACCGAAAAATCTGATGGACTAGTTGTTACATAGGACATTATGAGAATTTATCAAGTGGGATTGAGGGTTATACTCTACTCCAGGGAGCTAGAAATTTTGGATAAAATTTTACTTCTTTGGCCAATTGCTTTTCTATTCTTGGCTGTGTCTTTGCTGCTCAATGTCATCGAAACCGGGGGACGAAGGTATTTCTTATGTCATTCTTATGTCAAAAAAGATGGTTGAATTATAAATTTAGTGTTTGAACTTGTGTCGAGTAGGATCCTAAACTTTGAAAGTTGTCAAATAGGGTCCTGCCATCTATCAGCTTAGTGCTTACGTGTACTATTTAAAGATTACAGTGTGAAATAATTTATTTCACATGGATAAATATAAAAAATAACTAGTTAAATTAACTAAGTATTGTGTTTAACCGGTCTTTAAAATTTTAAAATTGTATCTCATAGGTCTTTAAATATTAATTTTGTTTTTAATGTCCGTATCATTATATCGGAGAAAATCCTTGCTTCGTGATCATGCACGATTTCTTTCCTTCCCCTTCCTTTCTTCTCCCATTGGTTTGATTTATTTTGGTTATCTTACTTTTTCGCTTATCATCCTCTTGAAACTTTGCCCCAAAATTCGCCCTCAATTTCCTTCACCCATTATAGTTGGCCCAAGCTCTTTAAATCCGCCCCCAATTTCCTGCGTCCAACTTTTTGAAAATTTACCTTACAACTTACCTCAATTTTAAACTTGCTCTAGTCTTAGACCTAAATAAATTTATTCCAAGTGACAAGTTTTGCAAATAGTATACAGTTAGCGGCATGGATCTACTCGATACAAAATTGAAAGTTTTGAGATCTACACACAATTAGTAATAGGTCAAATGAAATGATCCGGCGGTATTCTCCACCAATGACTAACCCAATAACAAAAAAAGTTGTGTAATAAATCTTGAATTTTCAATATTATTTGGTTGTTGTGTTAATTCTATTGATTTAACAGTTAAGATGTAAGTCAAGTCAAGTCAAGTAGTGGTAGTTTGGTTGATCAGACACATGGTGAGGACAAATATGCTCCAATATTCCACGCCGGCTTCACGATTATACTAATGAAATGAGTGGCGCCATTGGCTTTTATTTTGTCATTCATAGCTCACAAACATTTGTCTCCAAATTCCACTTTTGTATACTTTACATTTATATAAATGATACTAAAGAAAACATTCATAAAATGAAAGTTACACAAACTACCTCTACATCTTTCGATCCTTTTTTAGATCAGGTGTTGAATTATTTGACATTTGAAGATGCCCAACTAATTGAGTGTCATACAAAATCTACAATTCTCGGTGAAAAAGTTTCATCGATGCAAAATGATTATCATGCTTTAAAAAGGAAATTCGACATCTTATTTATTCAACAATATTCTTTTGAAGTATGTTGAGCATAGATTAGTGTTACAAAATAAGAAATTAAGAAGTTATATGAAGATGATAGATATAATTCATATAGCATTGAAGAATCCAAACTCCATCTAGAAATTTCGTCTAGGCTAAAGATACTGCATAAAATGCTAAGTGTCTTGACTCTTGACCTAATTCCAATTAAGTAGATTAGATTCTCATACAAAGCGATGTTGGCACATCCAAACGAATCAGCAAAGGTAGTTGTGGCGTAGACAACATATCAGTAGGGAAAGTTGCATAGGTGACAGAAACTTACTAAGGTTTAGATACCAATTTGAAGAGCATTTGTTAACAGCGGCATTCCAACATGATACGGATCCCTACCTCCCACAACCGACCCATCATTAGTCAAGCTTATTTTGTAGTGATCAATTATTGGTGTTCTATCTCATTGAAGTACATGTAATCACCATTCAAATGGATAACTATTCAGTCAGATAATAAACATTAATAAACACTAATAAACCATGACAATTTGTTAAATGAGATGTACACCAACACGTCAAAGATAGAGATCCGCTTAGAAGTTGGTAACAAAGTCAAGTAGAACCAATCAACTTCAAGGAAAATTCGACTTCCCAAATGAACAATCAATGAAGCTAGCATATGTTGGTCAAATTCCAATGTCATTAACTTTGTTAGCTTATAAAATCTTTGAGCCATTACACTATGTTCTTTACAACTATAACTCATTCTTGGCTGAATGACTTATTATGAGTCAAGGTTATGTGAAGTAAAGTTTTTAACTTTAAGGATGACATGTACTCTTCATTAAATTAAAGCATTGGTTAGTTGCAACATTTAAATAAATATACTTTAAAGTCGAACCATCGCTCAAGAAACAAAATGTTACGTTTAGTGAGATAGCAATGACCTAATTGATAAAAATCAAATACATAAATGATGAAATTGATTTGTCTTAAAGAATTAACAGTGAAATTGTAAACCACATAAACTTTAGAGATAAAATTATATAACTAACCTATTATTTATATAGTATATGTGAACATATTCAAACTCAAAAACTTTGATGGTCATGTTTATTTAATTTTTAAACTAAAAAAAAATATATCAATTACATTTTTAATATGTACTCTGATATGGTATGGTCTGTTTATTGAATAAATATTGATTAATTTGATATGAGGTGAGAGGCAAACGACAACAAAAAAATGAACAAAATAAAGTGGCATGTGCAATACATACCTTTTTTTTATGCAGTTTATTAAGTCGTTTTAATACGCTGTTATTCTATTATGTTCAATTGTCCACTTTCTTCCATCATTTATCTATCACGTTACGTCATGACAACTAACATTTGTCCAATACACATATGTTAGCATTTAACTCAATGTTGAAAATGAACTACATACGATCGTCTTTTAAAATTTATAGACATAATTAAAACTTTCTATAGGTACGTCAATTTAATCATCAAAGTTAAAGGACTTGATTTATTATTAACCTAAATTTCACTACAAAAATTGAATGAATATCCAAGTTCTTGCCCAATTAGTATATTTTCCACAAGTTGAAGGTATAATTGTAATCTAATTGGAATTAAATAATATAATTTTCCAAAATAAGACAAGGTGGAAATTTCAGCAAATACATCTAAAACAAAACTTCAATGATTGACAAAAAGCAAAACAAAAAGGCATTCATTTAATTAGGCATCCAAAGTTGCAAGATTTATTTTCATATCTTTGATATGTGTAAAATGTCGAATATGCCCTTGCATTAATGGCAATCTACTTCTTTGTTGAGGGTTATTTCGGTCATTTCATACCTTGGTTGGTAGAGTCAACAACCATTGAGCTTCTAGAGAAGAAGAGCCACCGACACACTGCCAATTACCGATTAAATATTTTGGGGAAAATCTTAATCAATATTAATTGTTTTTTCACTAAACTTTAATATAATATTCTCTTCCAATGCTTTCCATTAATAAAGTATTTTTCTTAGGAAAAACTTGAGTGGGTAGATTTATTTTTCTGAAATATTTGTATGTATTTATTTATTAATTTAAATATTATTTTGATTGTGAATACTTTTACGACGTTCATATTGATTTTTGTACTCTCAACTTTTGTTATTTTAGTCACTGTTAAAAATGTTTGTTTTGGTTTCCATTCGACACAAATTTATGACTACATTTCAATAAATTTAGTAAGTTAAGTGTTATGCTAAAATTATAATTGAAAAAAATGAGATTAAAATGAACGTTTTGAAAGTATAGAGATCCAAATAGAGATCCAAATGAATCAAAGTCGAAAGTCAAAATGTAATTTAAACCTTATCTATTTTAAAAAGTTACAAATATATTATTTCTAAAAATAATTATGAATTTAAAATTAATTAGAGTAATTAACTTTGATAACAAAAATCAGTATGTTGTTACTTTTATGTACAATGGTTGATTTTTACATCATTAATGATTAATTTAAATATTGATAGACTATATTTATTATAATCATTTATTGACCTTTTTTTAGTAATATTTACACTTTTCTTTTAAACTAAAATTTTTGTAATATTTTATCTTTTTTATGCTATATTTTGTAATCACTTTTTTTTTCTTGTCACAATTGTTTTGTGATAAGTAATTTTCATAAACGCTAAATAGAGTGAGTTAATAATTATATAATCTTACAACTATCTTAATTTTGAGTATTTGTGTGAATATAATAAGAAAATTGTTTCATTAAATAAAAAAGTCTACTTTTTAATTGTTCATCAATGCATTTTTAGATTGAAAATTTATAGGTGCTATTACAACAAATTAATCGTTAGTTAAATAGGTTGGCACACGTGTTTCCATTTTTACACATTTTTTAGACCAAAAACCAATTTTATTTTTCCACTTTTGAGTTGAGAACTTAACTTGGAAGAAAAGATAAAGTTATAAAAGAAAGCGAAGAAAACCCAAAATTTACAAGGAAGAATAATTAAAATCAAAGTTATTTGTCAAAGCCAATAAAAAAAACTCAATATTAGAAATATGGCACAAGACAGGTTAGAGAATCCATATAAATGAATTAAATTTATCTATTTCATCAGTTTATTCATCCTTAATATATATATATATATATAGAACATATGTTTTCGAACACGAAGCCTCCTCCTCAGATAAAGATGTCTCCGATGCGACTCTCCCGACAAGAACCACTTTTTTCTGAAGGTTTGATCCTTACATTTTTTTACGATCAAGGTAGGACGAGCATGGTACGTCCACTATGGTATATGTGCATCTTAAGAAAGAATAGAAGGCGAGTTCTAAAAGGACTACGACACGAGCTCATTTCGAGCGTACTGTTCTCTTCATGTTTAGGTTGGGATCAACACAATAAGCTCTCCCTAAAAAGCTCTCCCTAAAGCGTAGAGGATGAAAGGTCTTCTTTTAACTAATAATGTCAAATGTCAAATGTCAAATGTGAGTGACCAACTTTTTGAAAACTAACCTCTCACCCACAAATAAAACTTAAATACTTATCCTTAACAACTAAGTATTGTACCTATTAGTTGTGTAATAATGATTGTTCTCACTTTTATTTAGATAAAGAAGTATATTAGATTAGTATATGATACATCTTTCTACTGACCATTTATTGACTTGGTACAATTTAGGGTAGTCCAGTCGATTCGAACAACGTCTCAATAAATATTATAATAATATCGTTATTTATAAGCGAGAAATGAATAATGATACAATACCAGTCTTGAAAATGTGTATAAATACCAAAATTAAATTGTCACTCCTCGTAGGAGATGTAAGTATTGATACATAGAATAATTTTTTATTCGATCGATAATCCTATAAAGCTCAAACGTCTTTCTAAAATAAGAGGTAAAAATTGGATGATGACATGCTCATAAATTGAATTAAAAAGACTAATTATATATATTAACTCAATTTTTCTTATATGGAAGGTTGGATCGCACTCAATATTTATTTATTAAGTTGAAAAAAAAAATTTGTTTCATGTATTTTTAGTTTTTACCCTCTATAAAAAAAAAATGTATTAAATAATGAAAGATATTTTATTTTCTATCTTCCATTAAAAACATAAAACAAGGAAAATTTTGGTCAAGTCAAATGAGGCAAAAGGAGTGCCCCACTGTGAGCTGTCCGAAGCTTCGAAGGATCAACTACTTCCAATTCTACTTTTAACCATTGGCTTCATCAAATCAAAGTTCGCCACGTGGATTAAAGTTATTTACCCATTGCCGACATTTCCTTTGGCCACTCCCTCAGTTTATTCCTCCACCACGTTTTCCGACACACAAACTTCTTTCGTTTTTTGTTCCCCCGCCAAAATTAATAATAATAGCATTAAAAAATTGAATTTTTTTTTTCTATTTTCCCATCAAATCTTATAATGTCATTTTATTTTCTAGAACGGTTAAATGTGAACTATTTTCCATTTTCTCATCTCAACTTTTTTTAATATAATTTTGATAGAAATATATAAATAATAAATAAATTATTTATTTATTTATTCTAATTTCTTATTTTAGAATTATTATAAATGAGGAAAAATTAGAACTTGATATTTATCACTTGAGTTATATTTCTTTTTTTAGCTATTCTGAAATATAGTGACGGTTCTAATCTAAGGCGGATGAAAGGTAAAACTCAAGTCTACGAGGTGAACTTCTTTAAATCATCTCCACTTATTTTTCCTTCCTAAAATGATCGTTTTGTCATTTTTCTTCCTCATTATTCTTAAAGAAAATTAGTTGACAAATCTTTCAAACACAAATATTTACCATATTTAAAATCCCATAGTTTTAAATTCTTAACTTGAAACTTTCAATTAGACTATGACAAGTTTATGACAATTATAGTAATAATTTTAGTTTAATATTTATGGCTTTTCTTATAATTTTTATTATTGAAAATGACGCAATGACTTTATTGAAAATAACACAATGACCTTGCACCCTCTTTTTCTCATTTAACATAATATATATATATATATATATATATATATATATGCAAAGTAATTTTGTAATTAAACAAAATTCTACGTTCAATTATATGTAAAATAAAAACCATAAGTTGTACTTTTTATTAATACGGAACATATTGTGATATAAATAAATATTATATTAAAATTACAAAAGAAGCTCTGAAAATAAAAATAAAAAAGAAAGCCACATTAAAGTATTGCTCTCGCAAACTAAAACAGTGGCTTTACCTTCTCCCTCTAGAAGGAAGCTTTTTGTTTTTCTCATTTCTTCGCCGGAATCCGCCGCATTCTCCGGCCGCCATGGATTTCACCGTCTCCGCCGCCGTCAAGTTCTCCATCGTCATCGCTTCTCTTCTGCTCTCCGTTGAAATTTCCTCTGCGTCGCCGGAATATTCGAGGCCTCGGCCGTCGTCTCCTTC